AATACTGGTATGCAATTGGGAAAAATAAATTTGAAAAACCGATACTTCTTGTCTCACCTCATTCTCCTTTTAACGGCATGAAAAACATAAGAAATAGCTTTAAAAATTTCCAGAAATATATAATCAGTTCAAGCTAAGTGTACGAAATTTGGAATAGGACAGAACGTATGTGTTTCATTGAAATTGGTGGGCAGCTTATTGAGTTCAAGCACGTAGCGGTCGTAACTGCGAAACCGTCAAGGTCCTAACTGCCCTACATCACCCTTCTTTTTCATCTGTTATTATTTTAGCCAAATCTTCTCTTGGGGTATAAGGAAGTCTTGCAACAGTTAATACCATACTATACATAGATGTTGTAGTACGAGTGCGACCCGCAGTTATCCACTAGTGAAGCCTACATAGATCAAGTTGAAGAGGCGGCTTCATGTGAATACTTGATCACTGTCAAAGTTGGATCGCTTTGTAGCTTGGATGCTTTTGTGCCTCCAAATCTTGTAAGTTTCCTTTTCTTAAATAGATAAAATTCTTCATCGGTTACGAGGGACTGCAAATAAGTTTTTTTCAGAATCGAGCAAATGAAATTATATGTCAACCCTTTGTTTCTAAAGAAGCCATTCAGAAGTTTGTAGAAGATGTTATTCGTAAAAAGACGGCTCAGGTTGGTTACCAATCAGCATATTGTAATTACCAACCCTTTCCTTTTCGTGCTTCGGCTTTAAAGCTTTCACAAGGCAAACTAAATATCGTACCTCTCTCGCTATTGATGGCTCAAGTTATTTAGCCTCTCATTTGTCTTGATTAGTGAAACAAAAAATGACTAAGCCCAAAAATTTAGGAAAAAGCATTAGATTTGGTGCACGATGCGCTTAATATGATTCGCCGTATACAACGACGTCGTGCGTCTATGCGGCGAACAGAGCTACTTAAGGATTCTTCCACAATAAAATATGCCGTGCGTTCTCAGATCGACAAAGAATATAATGATGCTGTTGAGAGATACATATCTATCGCCGTTACTGGTAACTATCTTATCACCAGGCTTACATTTCATATTTTCTTTTAATTTATATTCTCTCTTTAGCTCGTGCTGGCAATGTCCTTGATACTGATACAGTGCAAAGTGTTGCCAAGTTGTCACGAGAAGTTGACGACATCGAGAGAATATTTTGTAATTGTTTTCTTCGCCTATTTATTACTTTTTT